TCACCTCAAGCGCACGGTGTGTGGGGGGGGGGGGGATAGTAGTTTTACGACTCTCGGCGGCACCGCATGGTGGGAGTTCCCCATTATGAGATATCGGTGTCAAAGGGCCTAGCCCTAGCCAGCCAGGTACTACTACTAGTAGCAGTACTAGCAAGAGTACATAACCCCAAGAGGGTTATGTACTCTTGCCAGTAGGTGGCCTAGGCCATGCACTATTACGCATCAAGAGTATATAACTAGTTAACCTGGAAGGTTATATACTCTTGCTACCATGCAGAGCAGACGCGTCCATAGTTCGCAACATCCGCAGGCAGTCCGTGCGCCAAGGCCCTTCGCGGCTTCAGTTCAGAGACCGATTTTCATTTTCTCGTGAGAATCGTAGCCTCCAAGGCGCCGCATGGGCTGGTTTTCTGTTTTGTGAGCATCTACCAATCCTTTATCAGTGTTACAGGGGCATTTGAGCTTAGGGGACAGAGGTGGAATATTTCACCAACTGAAGTACTAGTTTTTTCTGAATTTGTTGAGTACTAGGTCGCATCGTGTAGATATGTCAGTATACGTGTATGATTGTGGTGAAATTCTGAGCATCAAATTATTATGGGCATCAAAGCACTGGTGCTTGCCCATTCAATAAATAGGTCTCCTGCTCTCTGACTTTTTTCTTGCATTGCGCGACTATCAAATTCGTTGAATGAAATGAAGGAGCAAATTTGTTGCTGACTGCATCAGTTCTGTTTTCCTCAGCTGTTCTTTTTTCAGTGTGGTGACTTCTGATCCATGAGGCAATGGCATGAAGTCAGTAGTTTGCAGTATGTGCAGAATGCGGCTTTCTCTCTGTCAATGTACCTCTGACAGCTGAAGCCCAGATCACGGTTGCAGTTTGCTGGCTATGGCCAGCAGCAGTCTAAAGTTGCACCTTTCCTTCCACGCACAGCAATGCTGAATATGTCAGCAGGCTGGCCAGCTATAATAATTATAACTGTTTGGAGGTCGGAAACGCTGAAGACGCGATCCCGTTAATATATTGCTCCAACGGTAATGAAGAAGGCCTCTTTGATTTATTACCATTTCGTGTGGATATCTATGGTGTTGTAGTCCAAGTCGTGCGGACCATAAAAGGTATTAGACATGAAATAGTGAAGGTAGTGCGATTGACACTGACGACAGCAAACCAACAGTGGATAACCAACAGTGGATATCAACCACACTCCCAGCGTCATTCTGCACACCAGGAGAATCCAATACAGTCAACTTCGCTAATAACGACTGCGGACATAACGACAATTTGCAAATAACGACAGAATTTCCATGCCCAGAGCAAAGTTCCATCCCACTGTAATAAGACTTCGGGTATGACACTTCGCGAATAAGGACACCTTTTTGATGCCCCGCCGAGTGTCGTTATAAGCGAAGTTGACTGTACATATAGCTGCCAACTCTGATGGTATAGACCCGATAACTTCCATCTTTCTTGTTTTGTTACTCTACGATTGGTATACAGTCATGTACTAGTGTAATCTCTGTCCATATGCGTAATGCACTGTATTTGTTTCTGGTGACTGGAGGTAGTTTATCATAGCACTGTTTTTTGTTTTGTTTTTGTTGAAGATGAGCATTATCATGTTAACGTTACCGGTGTCGCGGGTCATTCCACAGTCCCCAAAGGTGACATTCTCGGCAACGGACCGACCCAGTAGGCAACTGATTAATGATAAATTTGCTGCCATTCATGATTGGTATCACGGTGCGCCACAATGGCATATGGTGCAAAAAATCTGTCTTCTGGCAAGAACAAGGTGCGGTTGGTTGCCTTCCTGGCTGCTGGATGAGCAAGCGATAAGTTTGCAAGTCGCTTCACGCCTGGAAAGAGTCTCTTTGTGACCATCGGCACGTCTTGCATGAAGATCGCGTAAGGCCAAGACGCCACTGCAATGCAGCGGAGCCCTTGTCTAGACCTCACGTCTTTCTTCAGCTCTTTCAGTCTCTGTTCATGTGTGCTTCATATGCTTACTCTTTGGTTTTGGATATCTTGACGGACATTGTACATCATATCAGTCATGTTCATTATGTAGGATTTGACTTCAATCCTTTGTTGTTGTCCTAATTATCAACCTAGGCGGCATGCCGTGCATTTTGTGTAATACAAATCAATGATTATGTAGCATAGTACACGTACATGTACATGTATACAGAAGAATGGTTTCTTCCCTCTTTCCTATTTGCACTGCACCTTTCGGTATGTTTGAAAGGCATTTTGTCCCAACCCGGTGGTATAGATAATTTAAAAAAAACATCCTAAATTGTCTCCAATGTAACAGTTACTATGCTGTTACTATGCCGTTGCTATGGTTACAGATGTGAAACAATTTCTTCCGTATTTAATGCCCTTGCATCCTGAATCTAAAGGAAATAATGTGATTTATAGGGAGCACTAGGTGTCATGGTCAGGTTTTAGGTGTCCATTTGTTGTGTGCTCGAAGTGGGAACGGGCGTGAATATTTATGGGGCCTGGCTGCTGGACTGCTGTATTTCCCCGTAAGTAAGTTCTCCCCAATGACTTATTACCCCCCTATAAAAAATACACTTTCCACTGCCGAGGTTATCACCCCGAAAAACAGTTCCCCCAAAAGATAGTAAGTTCGTACCCGTCCTACATGTACAGACACCGTACAGTACATACATCATATCAAGCGTACATGTGTACTCTTGATCATATGCACGGACACTAGAGTTGCGCAGGCTTCCCACTGCGTGTCATTTACCCCCGATAATAAGTACTCCCCGAAAGATAGTGTAGTATCCCTGCCTGGCTAATACGGAAGTAGTACGGAACTAATACGGAGCTTTGCCTGATGTATGTTTGGTGTGTCTCCGTATGTAAGCGTACGGCGTCTGCTGCATAAAAGCTGCTGCGCATTTCTGTTTTGATATTATAGCAACAACAAAGCTAAACCAAGAAGAAGAAGTAGTCAACCTCTAGGTGTGCACCGGAGAGAAAGTCATTTATTTGCCGCTTCTTCTTTAACTTCTAATATATCCTAGGTGTGTACCTAAGAGAATAATAATAAAAGATAACTCGTGTTAATTGTACCGCGCCTACCACTCGGCTAGTACCACACCCGAAAGTTTGTACTCATGTGGTTGCTAAGTTCGAAAGTTAGTACGTACAAACCTACGGGGAAATACGGTATTAGACTCTCTGTCAGTCAACTATGGTAGAAATACAAGTTATCATGTCCAGGGTTTCTCCCTCACTCTCCTGCAATGCTACACTCCTACATACTGCGGATGCATTTGCTGTGTTTTCACGTCAGTCACGAGGTCGGAGAAAGCCACGTTTGCCAACGCGCTGTATATCGTTGCATGCATGGCTTGCCAAAGTTGCATACAAACGTTGTGGCCTCATGGCTCTTGCATTACATTTCTAGAATTACAGTGGAACTCACTTAGACCATACCCGCGTAAGACGGGCAAGCTCATATACAAATGTGTTTGGAAAACGACGTACCATGATAGGATTTACAACTAGTATTATGAAGGGCTTTTCAGCAGGTACAGACAGAGTGTACTAAGGGCCGGGTTCCACTGCGGCTCCGCTGCTCCGCTGCTCGTCTTTCGCGGCTTGAAACGTCATCATTACCATAGTGACCGCGGCTCGAGCTGGAGCAGCGAGGCCGCGGCTCACCGCGAGCTTTTGCTACGATTCTTGACCAAAAACTGCGAGCCGGGGTCGCGGCTCGACCTGTTTCCCGTACTTTGCATTGTTTCGTACGCCAGAATTTTAAAATTCAAAATTTAATTCGTTGCGCAGGCCAGAACACGAGGATTTTTTTGATTTCGCGCGCGCAGGCAGGTGAAACGTCATCAAAAAGTGTGGACCACGACCGCGGTACCGCCAATGGCGAGTGTCAGTGGAACCGCGCTGCTCCGCTGCATGCAGCCAAGTGCCACGGAGCAGCGGAGCCGCGGAGCCGCAGTGGAACCCGGCCCTTAGTACTATGTTGGTGTTTTTCAAACACCGTTCCACTTGACAGGTTTGCACGACAGGTATTTTAGCATGTTGACAGTGCTGAGAAGGCTGTTTGCAGTGAAGGAAGCCTGGTTTGGTGTCACTAACCACGTACATTTTGCAGGGTCTAGCAAGAGTCAACTTTGGATAAGAAGTACTTCAGATACTAGAGACGTTTTGCATAACCGTTTGCGCCTATTTTTGTTTGACGTCACTAAAAGCGAACAATCGCCGTTTTGAAAGGGAAAGTCGAAGGAAACGTGAAACAAACTTTTGCAGTAGTTTTCGCTGTTCACGGACCAGTGCAGTGCAATGGTGAACCACCCTCATGCAATGTTTTGTGCTTCATCTTTCACAATCCAGAAGAACTGCTCTTGGCTTGGTCGCTAGTGCTAGTTTGACAATATGGCAAACCATGTTGTTTCATCTCCGTAACCACCACCGATCTTCTGTCTTCTCATTTTCTCAGAGTCGGTGATGCTTTTCTGGATTTGTAGATGCGCAGGATTGCGGCACAGGCGAACATGGTTGTCTGTGGGTCTCCGGCTATCGACAACATAGTCAAAAGGCTCTTGTCTCAGAGTGCAGCCACTCACGGCATATTATTTTCTCAGTCGGATGAAGCTCTGTAGATCTACCGAAGACGACTTCTCAAACAAGCACGAGTGCACTCGTACTTTTCTTGGAGCGAAAATCATGGAAAACACAAACTTCACGCGAACATTCGCACACATATTCGCAAGCCCAGACGTGAAAATCCATGCGAACGTTTGTTCTGCAAAACCTCTCTACTAAGTTCGCTTTTCCAGTCCCGAGGCAGTACCTCTTATCCGAGTTCCACTGCATCTCGCAGAGAGGCGTTCGAATGCCCGTATTGCTCAAAACGAGAGCCATTACAAGCAGTGGACCATGCAATAACCCTTGAAATGACCCTTGAAATCAAGTCCCACACGTTTGTTCCCCCATAACCTAAAGCAATCACTTCACTTACCAGCACCATCAGAGAGAGCTGGATCTCTCTGATCAGCTGGTTGTGACTGGCGGCCGGAGCTCTCATTCTTGCTGGACCCTAGCCCCATTGGTAACAATAGCCTTCACCAGTGTTGTCACCACACGGATATCTGAAACACAGCAACACACAAACACAGCAACACGCCAACACAGCAACACACAAAAACAGCAACACACAACCACAGCAACACACAAACACAGCAACACACAAACACAGCAACACACAAACACAGCAACACACAAACACAGCAACACACAAACACAGTAACACACAAACACAGCAACACACAAACACAACAACACACCAACACAGCAACACACCAACACAGCAACACACAAACACAGCAACACACAAACACAGCAACACACAAACACAGCAAAACACAAACACAGCAACACACAAACACAGCAACACACAAACACAGCAACACACAAACACAGCAACACACAAACACAGCAACACACAAACACAGCAACACTGTCATAAACTACCATGTACAGACACATCCACACATTGTCGTCTACCAGCACCTGCAGACATTTTAACACGTTAAACGGTGATTTAGGCTAATCGGATCTTACAAACACGTTATTCTGCCTGATAATCAGAAATCCTACGGACAGTGGGGAAATCCCTGCCTTAATCACTACATGTTTCATGTTCATGTTGCAATGGGCCAGCAGAATTTATGTTCTCAGTTTTATAAATGAGAGAGCAGGTATGGATACAGTACTGGCACTAATGACAGTCCAGAGGCCTCGCTATGTTTTGTTTTTAACTAGGGCTCTAACTAGATACTATATACAGTCAGAAAGTGCAACAACTAGGCACAACACTGACAGAGTACTGAGACCCTCGATGACCTGACACCTAGCTTCAAAACATCTCCGTAGCGCAAACCAACAGCCTTCTAACTCTGAAGGTTCAAGGTTAATTTAAGGAGAGACCGAAGAGGGGAAGGTAAGCGCAACGAAACCAAGCACAGGCCACAGTCCCACGGGAACGAAGAATGTCGATTGTCCCTGGTTTGTTTAACTTTCTGACTGTATGATCATATAGTTAATGCATGATAATGTATGATAATATATAGTATATAGTTACTATAGTAACTAGTTACTATGGAATCTAGTTACTATGGAATCTAGTTACTATAGTAACTAGATTCCATAGTAACCAGTTACTATAGTATCTAGTTACTATAGTATCTAGTTACTATAGTAACTGGTTACTATTGAATCTAGTTACTATAGTAACTAGATTCAATCTTGTCTAGTTACTATAGAATCTAGTTGCAGTGGTGTACAGTTACTCTGAACTCGTATCCATGTGACCTTTTCCTTTCTACATGTATATTTATTATCGGCTCAACATCCGAGTTTCAAAAAAACATGTATGCGATAATTATGTTGAAAAGATGTTTCTATCAGTTTTATAGAAATAGCAGAAATTGAAGTAACACGTATCATGACCTAGGTGAAAGCAAAGCATAGCGAGGGGACTGGTATTTCCAGCCCACTCATTTGTAAACCAATCATTAATTTTCTGGATTCCCCAGAGGCTGAATCGAGTAGTGGTGTACGGTAGTTAAATTTTAAGAGAGGATGTCTGAGAATACCAAAGTATGTGTGCAAGTGGATCTCTCCGATTCCGCTCAAAATTTGCAGGTAGGTTCCCTTTGGGGTGTGGATCGATTGGGCAAATCCCTTGAAAATTTTTCTGAAGGGAACCTTGAAATTTGCATACCCTCAAAAATGGCCGAAATATCACATTATTTATGGGTCTAGAAACGAGTCACGCCACAGCGTATACGAACAAGCTATGAACAAAACTCCATCAAGCCAACATTGCCTCACCTTAGAAGAGTTCCTGGAGCAGTACCGCTTAGCCACGCCAGCATCCCAGAAGACGAGGTCCATCACCCCCTGACGCCACAAATGATCGTCTTGAAAAGCCAATTTACAAGCGCTGGCAAAACAGCCAGCTACGTCCTCAATTGGCCAGAACTATACACCGGCAGATAGTAGAACACCTCTTCTAGCGCTGAGGACATGTCCCCCATCTTCCTTTTGGGGTTTTCTTGAAATAAACTTTTTTGAATTTTTCCACTCGACCATGCTGAAATACGGCCAAAGTCACACCTGCGCAGGAAAGCTCGCCCCTCCGCGACGTCTCCTCAGCAATTTCTACTCCAACACTACTCCCAAGGCCGCAGAACAAAGTGTAGTGTTGACTCTGACAAGGAAAAGCAGCGGTGATCACTTGTCACTCCAAACGACAAGCTTCTCCTTGCGCCACCAATAATTTTTTGTGCGACTGTTGATGCAAAAGTGACTGAAGGCCTGAGCGCAGTTTTTGAATTTTATTGCAAGATGCACAGTGAAATCACGTGCCTTGTGACGCAAGAATGCCAAGTCGCGTGGCCCACGGCTCCCGAAATTTCAGAGTGACCTTTGTCAAGTGCGCTTGTTACTCGCCTTGAACGCCCGTGGCTGTGGCGTTGGTCTGGAAGTGATCACACTTGTGTGGTTACTGCGCTTAAGAACACGCTGACCGTGTTGTAGGCCTACGAACCGGGACTTTCCCTGACCATGTAGGTCGAAGACCAGGCAAATGATGATGAAATCACATTCTTTATGACGTAAGAAATCTCTCATGCAGTTCACGCGACAAGTGCGTGCAGCCAGTGCTGCTCGCGTGCCAGTCAACACAAAGGGACCGATCTAGCCGCTTTTGTTGAGCATGGACATGAAAACTAGGGACTTTTACTGTTGGACTATGTTCGGGATTGCAGGAGGTAAGTGTGAAAGACGAATAACTCTCCATGCTGTACGGGGCATATTTCAACGGCTTGCTGCCATTGCAACACTCCTAGGACAGTTTGTGGGGGTTCTCAGCAGATCAAGCAGGAAATGCCGCTCATCTCACCTCTGCCATCATGGTCTGTTCCGAGTAGCGTTCCAGACACGTTCGCGATCGATGGCTGCGTATCGTGATGCAGGAAGCGTCATCCTACGTCACAGAGCACGCGATCTCACCGTGCATCTTGCAATAAAATTCAAAAACTGCGCTCAGGCCTTCAGTCACTTTTGCATCAACAGTCGCACAAAAAATTATTGGTGGCGCAAGGAGAAGCTTGCCGTTTGGAGTGACAAGTGATCACCGCTGCTTTTCCTTGTCAGAGTCAACACTACACTTTGTTCTGCGGCCTTGGGAGTAGTGTTGGAGTAGAAATTGCTGAGGAGACGTCGCGGAGGGGCGAGCTTTCCTGCGCAGGTATGACTTTGGCCGTATTTCAGCATGGTCGAGTGGAAAAATTCAAAAAAGTTTATTTCAAGAAAACCCCAAAAGGAAGATGGGGGACATGTCCTCAGCGCTAGAAGAGGTGTTCTACTATCTGCCGGTGTATAGTTCTGGCCAATTGAGGACGTAGCTGGCTGTTTTGCCAGCGCTTGTAAATTGGCTATTTTCAAGACGATCATTTGTGGCGTCAGGGGGTGATGGACCTCGTCTTCTGGGATGCTGGCGTGGCTAAGCGGTACTGCTCCAGGAACTCTTCTAAGGTGAGGCAATGTTGGCTTGATGGAGTTTTGTTCATAGCTTGTTCGTACACGCTGTGGCGTGACTCGTTTCTAGACCCATAAATAATGTGATATTTCGGCCATTTTTGAGGGGTATGCAAATTTCAAGGTTCCCTTCAGAAACTTTTTCAAGGGATTTGCCCAATCGATCCACACCCCAAAGGGAACCTACCTGCAAATTTTGAGCGAAATCGGAGAGATCCACTTGCACACATACTTGGGTTTTCTCAGACATGCTCTCTTAATTTTTTTAATTTTTTTCCATACATAACATGGGGCTCATTCCTGAACACACACTGACAGGTCAGGTACATTCTACGGAGTAGTTGTATTATGCTATGGTGCTAGCTTATCGATTTTTTCTTCTTCTTTTTTTCTCCAATTGTTGGCACACATAACGTGGTACTGAAACACGAACTATCTCCCTGCATGCATCCCTTCCATACACTTTGCAGGCATACACATCCTACCAAGTTGCTTCACGTTATGAACCTTGCGTTGAAAGCCCTATTTTAATATTTGACCAGCTTTCTGTACACACACACACACACGCACACACACACACACACACACACACACACACAGATACACAACGAGAGGGCTTGAATGAACAAGAGCAACTCAATATGCTGCGTTTTTACTTTCTCCCTGTCATTACAATTGTCGCTTTCTAGAGTGATCTTTTAAAGTTTACTTTGTCCACTCGACGTGAAGAAATCAGCTAGAAGTTTGTGGCCTCCTGCTTTGCTGCACTTGCGGCTGGGGTCGACGTCTTCACCAGAATTTGAGGCAGACCCTTCAGTATTCAACAAAACGGTGAACAAGAAGCGAGTTCAAATTTAGGTCATGAAACTTCGTTTTCAAGCAATCGATGCCTCCAGGTGGCGGGCGATGACGGCAAACTAGCATTTTTGAAGTACACCGTAACGACCACCAGCGACATAGGGTAAGCAGTTCCGCACCTTCTTTCCTTGACAAGCGCTTCGCTGTTTTTGTTGGTGTTTTCAGGCCTGCTACCTTCGCAGCAACATGCGCCACATGTAACGCATTTCAGGAATTTGAGAACACTTTGTTCTTGCCATGGTCAAATTCAGCATGCCAAATTCAAGAGATATACCAGGATTCGTATCCCTGAGCCTTTTTTTAATTCACGGTTCGCGTGGGGGACCGGTACGAACTCCAGAAAAATGATACTCACTCTGGGCGAAATAGTGCGAAACGAGAAGAATTTGTTTGGTGCGGAAGAGAGCTCCAAAATCACAACGCCTTTCGTAACAATTGCGAGGGAAGGGTCATACCAATGTTCGAACACAGAAAACAGTGATTCTGCCAGCCTGATTAAGACAATCAAGTCACAAACATTGCGATGTGCGAAGCAACAATTGTAGTGACAAAACCTGCTCCTGATAATAAGATTTTTAAGGGGGACGTGTCCCCCAGACCCCCTCTTTCTTTTCGCCTCCTTTCGGTCGTACAACTTCTTTAGAACCTGGTGGCGCCCCTGCAAAGTGATCTGTCAGGGATTAGGACTGCCTGAAAAGAGAACAAAATGCAAACCCCAACAGGACTGGAACCTGGGACCTTGCTTGTCATGAGCATAGCTCTAACTATCTAAGCTATGGCACTAAGCAGAACCTAGAAAGCGCTGACAACTTTAGGGTTCACGGATTGGCATGCTAGCGTCGCCAGCTACATCATGCACGTGACAGGCGGGTGCATATACTGTCCCACACAATCGGTCAGTGCTCAAATCGCATTTTCCCATCAATATCACTCACTTTCAACTCTACGGGATTCATTACGGTTGGCTCAAACTGCCTGAAATTTTGAATCCACACGCACGAAAGACGTTCCAAGACTTCCACCGTTCGTATTTTTTCAAACGAGTTCTGGGTTTTCCAGTAACTTTGGCCAAAGTTCGGCTAAAAAAACAGGGGGAGCCGTTGCGTTTCCGTAAAATACTGAACGGTAGAAGGATAGCCAAGGTCGAGAGCAAAACAACAAGCCATTATTTGTCAAAATCGAACAAGAAACGGCTCAGCGCATCTATTTTCCGTGCACGCGCGCGCGTACTTTGGCCGACAAGGTGTGGAGAATTTCTGAAGAAAAAGAATAACAAGAGCAGCAGCGCTCGGAACAGCCGTGCTGGATACTTCCAATCCCGACGATGGAGCGTGTTGGCTGTCGTGAGCTGCTGAAACGACCATGACATTTATTTTTCTTTGTATACCCTAGATATCTTGACGTGCCCTAGCTCAGTTTCGGCCTCTTTACAGGAAGAATATTTTCTTCCATGGCATCAGCGGCCAAACAGCAAGAAGAGCAACAGATCGAGATTTGCAGGGCAAACAAAGGATGCGTGCAGCTACATCTAGTCAGGTTCGATGCAGCTGCGCTTTGCCAGAACCTCAGCAGATAAGAAAAGACGACAGAGTGTCTCAGATGGAGCTGGATCTTTCGCCAAGACCGCCACCGCCGCCATCATCAAGTCCAGGTCAGTCAGAAAAATGCAAAGCCCGAGTGAAGTGAAGCCACTGAAGCCAAGGAAAAATTCAAAAAGTACGCTCTCCGGCTAGACTTCGAGTCGATATTTTTTTACTTCGATAGGCCATGTCGCGGCCTGTAGCGCGCGTCCATAATCCAAAATGGAGGCGCACGTGATGGGTGCTTTTAGTTGCAAGCCGTGAACCCTAAACTTTTTCACTAAAATTTCAGCTCAAAAAAACTTTCCAAACAATTTTGTTTTTCTGGTGAAAGGTCACCGTTTCCGATTGGAAGAAGTCCCTTCTTTGGAATTTGACGAAATTATTCATCGACTAATTTTCTCTGCTTGTAAAGCACACGGATTGAGAGTGAGTGGATATTGCAGCAGCCAAAAATTCCTTCGCGTTTGAATTGCCGTTGCTGCACTTCACTACGAACAATACAATACCATACGGACAAATGTGAGCACACGACACGGAGTACTGTACATCAGCAGAAGCCTTTTCTAATAAATCGTTACGGGTTAGGGCTGCTGTACTACAAGAACTCAGCGCACACCTTCAGTGAAACATAGGGACTGAATGGGAGATGCTTACCTGACTTCAAGCCAGGGAGAAGCACCTGCTCCCGATAACGGCCGGGTGGTTCCTGTCCGGCGTCCGCTATTCTGGTAACGTTGACCCGGACGATTGGTAGTCCCACAAATCTAAACGCCACCTGCCGATGGGCAGGTAACGAACGAAAGCGCTTCACTTCCGCAACCAGATTGCGACGGAGCGTCACTCAAACTCCCAGAAAACAACAATATGAAGGGCCGCAAGCAGAACACGCATCCGCCCAGAACACCCACAGACGGCAACGAGCAAGAAAAAAACGATTCCGCATTCAACTGAAGCACGGACGGTGCAGCAGTCCAAGATCTTCTCTACACGTTCGCTGCACGCTCCAGCGGCCAGAGCTCTGTGGCTTCATTCATCTGTCTGATCTGACAGAAGATGTAGATTTACGCGTAGATTATGTACATGACTGTACAACATGACATCAGATTCTACTGCCTGCTCCACACTACAAAAGTACAGTGCTACTCGTGTACATCCATATGTAGGTCTACTTTATAATCATTGCGCGTGCGGGCCGACCTTTCTGCTGACAAGTGACATGATGCTCCCATACCAACTACGAAATGAAGACGACTGTCTGTGTCGCCAGAGCAGAGGCGGACTAGCTGTTCAAGTGTCATCACATGCAACAGTGCTAGTGAGCGATGTCGCCTGTACTAAAGATTATGTAGAACAGGCCTGTTTGTTCACCCACGTACACGTCACGTGGTAAACAGCCGGGATAAATCGTAGTAGAAGCAAGGCAGGGCAGATTATCATTGCTGGCCGACCTTTCTGCTGACATGATGCTCCCACACCAACTACGAAATGAAGCCGACTGTCTGTGTCGCCAGAGCAGAGGCGGACTAGCTGTGTCATCACATGCAACAGTGCTAGTGAGCGATGTCGCCTGTACTAAAGATTATGTAGAACAGGCCTGTTTGTTCACCCACGTACACGTCACGTGGTAAACAGCCGGGATAAATCGTAGTAGAAGCAAGGCAGGGCAGATAAAATGAGATCCTTTTTTCACAGGCAGTAGCTACAGCCAAGGCAAAGTCAAAGGGCGTAAAAAGGCTGGCGGCATCCACAGCAGCACTCTACAGAACACATCATCATCATGCATGTACTGTCGTGGACATGGAAATCCGGTTGCACGTCTAGCGCTGGCCATGCAGCCATGGCATGCATTACTACGCGCTGCTGCTGGTCGTATCGCGTATCGTATCAACATGTGCGCTGCATGCAACGACGACGTTCTGTACGCGCTGAGGGCGCCGGCCCTGGTCAATAGACTGGATGTCCATGCATGTCCGCGACAGTACATTGTAGTCATTCATCCTGAGCCGCTCGCGTTTTTTTTATTTATTTCGGCCAGTCGGCTACATAATTGTCTTGGGGGTTAGACAATGGGAAGTAGCCATGTAGGGGCGTGAGCCCGCCTTTCGCCACCGGAAGAGGACCCACACCTTGCTCTGGTGAGCTGCGTCGCGTTTTGATCATGCTGACTGAGGCTACTCCTTTTCACAGTTCGGCCTCCACTAAGGCCGCGGTCACACATGAAAAGGTTGCACCGCTTTGAAGGCTGGATTCACACCCGGTACAAAAATTCGCGTTTACATGACTGTAAAAGTCACTTGCAACGCCTGTGCATTCACACAGTCCAATGCAGTGCATGCCAAACACGTAAAAAGTGACCCTCGTGACCCATGGCGAAGAGCGGGAATTTTGATTTCTGCATGAGCTGAGCGCACTGGCACCGTGCGGCACTTGGCTCAATATTTCAAAAAAATATTTCTTGGTCCGCTAGTATGATCTCGGTGGAACGCCTCCACAACTGGTGTATTTCTCTGAGTGTGCTGGAGTTGTGAACCATAGCGGCCGTGTATATCATTTCCTGATCACCTCCGGATAGCTGCTTTGGGCACAGGTTCAGCTCATCTGAAATCCTCATCTCGGCAACAGCTCTTTTAATCATAGTTCCACTTTTTTCGCTGGTATTTTCCCCATAGTTCTATCAGCCGTAGCTCCACCTTGGCAAAAAAAGACAACTCGAGGCATGGTACCGGACTCTCCAAGAAATAACAAAAACTCTGCGCACTCGACAAACCAAACCACTCGTTTCGCCTTGCCTGAAAACTAAAAGCCGAAATCCCCTTTCAAAGCCGCCTTCAAAGCCGGTCCGGGATGGCTTTGAACAGAAGCTTTTTTGCGATGCGACACGCGATGCGACAGGCGCGAAACCGGGAAAACCCCAAATCGCAGCCTTGTCGCACCCCACGCAACTGCCGCAACTGGGCCATCGCAAGCCATCGCAGAAGTTGAGCTTGGCTCAACTTTTGCGATGCGATGCGATGCGACAAGCGATTTGGCGTACGATTTTGACCTTTTCTACAGCAAAGTTGTACAAAGGTTCAAGAGTTGCCTATAAATTTGTACAAGTTGTGTCAAACCGCGCCAATATCATGGTGACGTAGCCAAATCAGCAAGATTTTGTCGCATCACTGACTTCTTCTGTGAATGGTATTTCGCGAGTTCGCATCGCACGCGTCCGTCGCAGATCGCGTCGCATCGCGTGTCGCATCGCAAAAAAGCTTCTGTGAATCCCGCTTAAGGCCTTGACGGATTATGCTAGCATAATTTGTCGCATAATTCCTACCAAAATCGAATAATCGCATAATTCGAGGCAAATTGCATACGAATCGCATAAAATTGGAATAATCCGCCTGTTCGCATCAATTAATTCCATACAGTTGTACATGTTCTACAAGTACAAGTACAAGTAGATGCACCAGGAAGTCGTAGGTTTACGACTCCCTTGATAACTAAAAGTGTGAAAGTAGGGTGCGGTTTGACATTTTGTGCTCCGAGGATTAGCCTCGAGGTGCGTCTCTCTACAGAACTACCCCTAGGCCCTCCCCATTATTGCTTAGAACTAATAGAAGAGACCAACAGTACCAATGGCGACAAACGAAGGCATGGACCTGGCTTTGGTTGGCTATGAGGAGCTCATCAAGATCGGCGAGCAAATGTCTGTGGATAAAGCCTCGAGCCTCTCCCGGCCGGATCTGGTGAGCGAGCTGAGGAAGCGTGGAGTGGGCATGTTGGCGCAGAGTTCGCTACCCACATCGGAGCTCCAACTTGCAATTGTAAGCCTTACTGACTCAATTAGCTGCATGTCACAGGAAATTGTCTCCTTGAGACAGGATAGAGCCGACAAAATCCTGAGTCTGGAATTAGAAGTGCAACAACTCAGGCGGGAAGTTCAGGGGCTCCAACAACCGGAAATCTGTGTACACCCTCTCGTACAGGAAGCACAGCAAAATTTGGCAATGTCCGGCGGGAAGTTGTACAGCACCGCCGTAGGAGACTTGAATCCCCCACGTGCACGCACCCATATTTCCTCTGGTCCTATGCAGTACACACAGGGTAGTACGGGTTCTAGTACTCACCATATGACCCCCGCTCACACCACCTCCAGCCATTTGTCGCAGCCTGTTTTGTCAATGCATGGCACCAGACCACACCCACCTGAGCAATCCAACCCAGGGTCGAGTGCTGCAGGTGCAGAGTGGTCGGAAGTCACACGCCGTAGGGTTACGTCACGCTACGTGAAACCACAGCCCAGGGCAGCCGACCCGCGTGTGCTAACAGGGCCTGAACGTACAAAGAAGCTTGTTCTGTACGTTGGAAATGTCAGTCCGGGTTGCAGGGCAGAGTCAATAACAGCGTGGTGCAAGGCCCGCCAAGTTGACGTACTGAACTGTTCGATTTCAGAAAACACGTACCTGGGTACTAGCCATGCTCGCGTAACCGTGGCAGCATCGGACGAGGACAAAGTTCTCGACTCCAAATTCTGGCCGGCCACCATCCAGCACACAGTGCGAAAAAGTGGCGCTTTGCTGATGCCCAAGGTCGTCTTCTACTTCGCGGCGAGGCAGTGATGATCAATCCTGAACTGTCATGCTAACAAACCAACATACACAACGATGCAGCAACAACGACTAAATCCCAACGCCCCTGTATTCACCCCACGATCGAAACTAGCCCGCCCGCTCTACCCCGCTCAGCCCTCCTCTGGCCAACCCGCACACATTGCATGTCCAGCGCTAAATCCATCAGCGTCCCCTTTTTTCCCTAAATCCCAGCGTGATTTAACCCTAGTATCTCTGAATTGTCGCTCTGTTGTCAACAAGTTGTCTGAGCTCTGCGTTATTGCCGAATGTGCTAAGCCTGACATAATCTGCCTAACAGAGACGTGGCTCTGTCCCTCGAACCCGCTCTCACTGTCAGGCTATATCTGCATCCGCAGAGATCGACCTCCGGAAGACAATCGGTCAGCACATTGTAGCCGTGGGTATGGGGGTGTTGCCGTACTTGTCCGTTCGGACTCCTTTCCGTACGTCTCCCCTCGTGCCGACCTTCAACGCCCTGGCTGCGAGTCTGTGTGGCTTGAACTTGGCTCCCCCTCTACAAAATCTCAGAATCCCATCTTACTATGCTGCATGTATCGACCACCCTCACAGAGCACAATGCAATTGTCGTACTTTTGTGACATGTTTGTTGAGGCATTACAGTCAGTCTGTTTAGATTCTTATGATCTGCTAGTGACTGGCGATTTCAACGCCCACAACTCAAGCTGGTGTCCCACCGATTCTACCTCGAAGGCTGGTGATCTCCTTAGCACAGTATTTGCTGCTCTTGGGCTCCACCAGATGGTTGACTTCCCCACTCATTCCTCGCCTAATGGCTCTGTTTCGTGTCTGGACTTGGTGATCACCAACCGACCACGCCTCGTGCGCTCAATTGATCAAGCACCTCCCTTGGGTATGTCTGACCATATACAGATTGTTTGCACTTTATGTTACGCCCCTATTTCGAACTACTTCCCCAACTCTGCCACTGGTCCTCCCTCTTCACTGTATCGCTTCAAACAAGTACCTTCGCACCTTTGGCAATTAATCAACGCTGATTTAGCTGGCTACAACTGGTCCTCTCTGAACTCGTACACTGATGTTAATGACGCACTTCATCACTTTGATTGTGAGCTCCAGTCCGCCTTCCGTCGGCACCTCACTTCATTCGGAGCCACCCCCACCTTGACATCTCCACGACCCCGCATGCAATCTCCACCATGGGTTACTGCTGAGCTCAGGTCTGCTGTAAAACGCAAGCGTGATCTATATAGTGTGTACAAAAAATATCCGACAGCAGTAAATCATGCAGCTTATAACCGACAAAGGAATGCTGTAAAGCACCTGTCTCGGCAAGCACATCGTCAATATTATACGCTCCATCCAAGCATCACTAACGTCACCGAATCGACCTACACTCTTTCAGTTTGTGTGAGCACAGCGGCACACTTCCGGCCGTGTCATGCCCCAAACGATGATAGCATCCGACGGTACGGTCGCCACGTCCCCCAAGAGCATAGCTGATGTTCTGAACACTCAGTTCACCTCATTTGGGCTACCTGATGATCCTTCGTGGCGCATTCCCCCTTTGTCCCAGTCGCCTTTCATATCTGTTCCGTTCCGTACAATCACTGTCACTACGTTTCAAGTTCGGAAATATCTGAAGCGCCTGAAATGTGGAAAGTCTCCCGGCTCAGATGGGATCCCGAATGAAGTGCTGCAGTCTCTTGCACCATCAATAGCCTATCCTCTCGCCATTATTTTTAATATGTCATTTCGAACTGGTACATTCCCACAGGATTGGAAATCCGCCATCGTGACACCGCTTTACAAGAATAAAGGCTCCCGTGCTTGCCCGGCAAACTACCGCCCCATCTCTCTGCTGCGCACAGTTTCCAAACTTTGTGAGCGTATTGTATTCGATTCCCTCTACCTGCACATCGCTCCGGCTCTCTCACCAGCTCAGTCGGGATTCTGCCGTGGTGACTCAACTCAATACCAGGTGACTCGACTTGTCCAAGACATAGCGACAAAGAGGAACTGTGGGGAGCACGTGGGAATGGTGTTTTTCGACTTGGCTAAGGCATTCGACACCGTTTGGCATCGTGGCTTACTTGCCAAGTTGAAGGTCACCTTCCGGGTGGAGGATGCTGCCTTGCGTTGGATATCCTCGTATCTGTCTGCTCGTTCTCAGGCTGTTCGCTTGTTCTATTTCTTGTCTGATCCCCTCCCTGTAACGTCTGGAGTGCCCCAAGGTTCCATTCTGGGTCCTTTGTTATTCTTGCTTTACGTTAATGACCTACCTTCAGTTGTCCCCGATGTTAGTTTGTATGCAGATGACACTGGCCTTATCTGTTCTGATTCCTCCCCTGCACAATTACTCCTTACCATGCAGCATCGCATCAACAGCACTGTCATGTGGATGCAAACGTGGAAACTCCAGCCCAATTTAGACAAGACAGAAGCCATGTATATTTCTTCATCCCCTCCTGATCAACCATTATTCTTCCCTGACTCGACTATGCCTATCCGTGTTGTTACTCAGCACAAACATCTAGGTGTGATGTTTGACTGCAAACTCTCTTGGGCTGCACATGTCAACTGTGTATGCAAGCGAACCAGTTCAGCCTTAGGGGTACTACAACCACATTGCACTCATTTGCCCATCCAGTGTAAACTATTATTTTATCAGTGCTATATTCTCCCTATATTCGACTATTGCGATACCGCTTGGTGTGGCCTTTCTGACACAACTCTGAGCCAATTAGAAGTCCACCATAGATTTATACTTAAAAAATTCTTTACAACAAGGATCGATGTTTTCCTTCGGATGCCCTTTATCGACTTGCACACACTTCTCCTCTCTCCGTTCGTCATAAGCACCATCTCTGTACACTGGTTCATAAGATATTTCTTCATAAAACCCCTTCACACATGATGAAGTACAATTGGTTTTCGACAGGCTCAACCCGTAACGCGCTCACCCTGCCTCTTGTTAAGTCAGCCCAGTATCTAAAGTCCCCTTTGTTTTCCGGCTACTCTCATTGGTTATCATTACCATACGGTCTGAAAACTTGTTCTTCTATTGGTCAGTTTAAAGATCTACTATCACAACTGAACTAGACGCAATAATTATCATCGAAGAACATTCTCGAATACCTGGGTGATGCACGAATTTTGATAGTGCTCACTTCCGTTAATCGTTTTTCTTTGTAATTTTCCATTCATTTTCTGCTTTAATTCATATTTGCTTTGTTTTCCTAGCTTACTATTGCCGTGGCTGGCTCAACGCCCTTTTCTCAGGGGATTCTGTCCCTGCATTAGCTATGCTTGTCACATGCTATGAGATTGTGTCTAATAATAATAATAACATATCCAGTCCACTACTCGTACAATCAGTGATGGTCGTAGCTAGGTCGGACGGTGCGTTGACCCCGTTGAACCTTTGCTGCTAAAGTACAAGTACAACGCTCTTTACAAAAAAATTCCCCTGTTATTTTGCACAGAACCATTATACATTAGCAGCATATGTGAGCATAATGCGGCATAATATGATTTAGCATAAAAATAGCATAATTCTGCAATTTTTTCAGCAATGCGAAAAGCATAATTTCACGAAAATATTAGCATAATCTGTCAAGGCCTATTGAACGTTGATGTGATTTTTCAATTTTCGCGCATGTTTCCATGCCCACTTCAAAGAACATTATAGCAATAAAAACTGCTTCATGGCAGTTTTCAAAAAGAGGTTATTGTGTTCTAGTCCATGGACCCCGTCTAAAAGGTAAGAAATTAACGAAATGTGATAGCCGAAAATTAAAATTTCACACAAAACCTCACAATAATCACACACAAGATGAAAAGCGAGAAGACCTTTTCCCCTCGTGGTCCTCTTTCCTATTCATGCATGTTGGCGCAGTACTCGTACAAGTCACCCGTGAAGTGTCAGACCAAGATGGACTCTTGGTCGGACTAAACAAGTGTTGAAAGCAGTATTTTTTTAAACTAAGATCCTCAAGTATTGTGATTATTGTGAGGTTAATGCGGCATAATATGATATATTTTAGCCTAAAAGATATCATATTATGCCGCATTATGCTCACATATGCTGCTAATGTATAATGGTTTTGTGCAAAATAACAGGGGAATTTTTTTGGCTAAGGATGATTATTTATAATAGTTGTGTCACCAATGGAATGCCCTATTAAAATAATGGCCTACATATAGCGCCTCTACATACATGTATGCATCATATCAAATTCAATACCGTATTATACCCATTGATGTGCAAGCCTTTTCTTGCAGAAAATGGCACTAGTCTTGCATAATCATGTTCTTCTGCAGGGGAATCATATGGGTAGTGGCGGTGATACTTTTTTTTTATACGCAGGTCATTCTGTGGATGTTGCTGTTGCAGAATTTCATGACTCTGTCATAAAATGGTCTTGTCTTTCAGAAAATTCAGATTTCCACACCCTAAACCACATTTACTTGAGAATTGTAATCAGGTGCGTGCAGCAGATGTTTTTGTTGATTCTGTGTATATAATAATTGTAGTCGTGGGTTGTCGTAATAAGGTCATCCGGCATCATATTGTACTGAAATCGTAATCCTGTTGATATCGATAAAACGTTTGGAAGTAGTTCAATGACTTCAAAGTGTGACAAGTTCACGATTGTCTAAAACAACACAGCAAAGTAGGAACAATAAACATGTATTTTACTATTTTTAAAATGTAAACAAATACATTGTTGAGTCGGACACCTCGTTCCAACAACTACACTGATCATGAGGATATAAGGGGCAAGGATATAATTATGGTTGGAGGTACTGAGAGATAAACAAGGCACTCCATAATAATAAAATGTTACACGACTTTGGGGGAGTATGAATGATATCCAGTCAAACCTCTTTAGGACGAACATCAAGGGACCGATGGCATTTGTTCTGTGAGTTTGTCTTAATCCTATTTTATAACGAGTGAATACAATTATTTCTCCAATAGAGACACGAATAGATTTCTTCTACAGCGAAAGATTCTAAGCCAGACCAAACCATTGACTCGTCTTGTATGAAACAAATGAGTCACTGAACCTTTCTTTAGCAACATGACGGCAACTGAAAATAGAAAAGCTGACAGGATCGTTTTTTAAATGATGCCTGTAAGTTGTATGCGGTTTTGTACCGTAGCGGAGGCAAAAAGCGTAACTACCGCAGCCGCTTTCGCGGAACACACGATGCAGCGGTCACACAAACATATAGGGCGCTTTCGATCACACACATTTCCGTCAATTCTAGATTATTGTTGATGCACAGTTCGATTACACAAAAAGTGACAAATTCCGTCGTTAGAATTGATTCTATCCAATTCCGTCAAATCCGTCCATTCTGAAGAGAGGGCGGAATTTCTCTAATTCTGGCGCCAGAATTGCATGCTAGGTGTGTCTAGTCATGTGTCGTATCCGGTCGGCCCGGAGTTAGACCCCAAGGCCGCGGTCGTCGACATAACTAACTTACTAAAACTTCTTCTTACAAGGCCGTGCAGTGGTGGCAACTTGGAGAGAGAGTCCACCAACAGAATTACTCTTACGCATGCACGCACATTTACCTAGACATACTCTCACACACACACACTCAGGCATAATTATAAAGACACGTAAATCACACCAGCGTTCAGGTTTACTCACATCTTCAACGAAGGTAACATAGCTCAAGAGATGATATGAGAGCACAAGGCAAGAGAGACGGAAGCCGAAGCTTCCGCCTGAAGGCGGAAGGCAAGAGAGAGAGAGAGAGAGAAAGAGAGAGAGAGAGAGAGAGACAGAAAGGCGATTGCCATAATATCTAACTACCGGCGGGAGGCTGATCCCCCCGTACGAACTATTGGACAAATAATGAACCATAGAACACCCGCATGCCGCAGTGTACCAAAACTAAGCTATAAAAGTAAAGTAAATTATCGTGTCCGCTCCCGAAGGGAACTCACGACGGTCGCTAGCACGCGATAAATCCTTACTTAGCAATAATGTGTATAAACTGTATCACAAAGAGCAGGAGACAGCTAAGGAAAAACAGGGTATACCAAATAAGGAAGGCGCCAGGCTTTGTGTGAAGACATAAAATAAAGGCGATTATGAATCCGTTTACGGGATGTAAATAAATAACTAGACACCTAAATAAAGGCAGACTTGTCACGTAGAGGCCTAAAAGGCACGTGTCAATAGTATGGATATGACATATCTCCCGCTTACATGGAAAAGAACATGTCCTCGTGTTATAAGTAACTTAATAAATTAGACTAAGAGTATGGGTAACAATTTTAACTAAACGAGTGCAGGTCAAATTGGAGTCCCTACCAAAATTGTTCCAAAACTAACTGTAATATCGAACACGACCAATCCAGTCAGTACCACTGAAGTCACTTACTCGTGCCACACAGGACTCCCAAACAGCTGGGGCGGATGGCGGGAACGCGGGGTTCGCCTCTTCATCGTGCCAACTGGCTGAGCACTGTCAAATACCCGGGCGCTGTCCTCCTCGTCTCGGGCGGCGGTGGTTGTCCGTTGGCACCAATTAACCTCGGGCCTTGGTCAGAGGTTTCCTTTTCCAGCTCCTTAGGTAGGCGGTCGGCAAAATCCTCTGACAACAATGTAGCGGCGGATCCTGTATCAATCACAGCGTTTTCTGGACATCCATTCACCACTCAAGGCACCAACATGTCCGCACGTTCACTCGCATTTTCAAAGAAGACCGAACACATACGTCAGGCTATTGTTTCTCTGCTCCAAATTTGTTTGCACGAGCATCAGCATGCACACCCAGCTCTATCACACACAGCAGCCATTTGAACATGCGGTGAATGCAGACCTGCTGCACAAGACTTCTTGCCATAGCTAGATAATGGGGCTATGCGCCTTGGAAGAGAGCCAGCGCTGTAGCCCGAACTTATTGTCAGCAATACATCAGATTAAGGCAGAAAACTAAGGCAACGGCAGCTTCAGCATTTGCTAGGCTTCAGGAACCATGCTTTACTACTTCGTTTTTGAAGTACGAAAAACTCGCCAAGCGATGAGTTATAGGCATATAGACCAGAGCATCATGAATCACACAACTACAGTGTGCAGCACACACTAAAGCGGATAACGGCAGCGCACACTAAGAAGATAGTTGACCAGGGTGGGCAGCTGCACACTTGGCAAGAAGAAAAACAATGATCTGCAGAATCACAGCAACAGCACTTTCAACCACAGCACACTGCCCTCGTACCCGTTCCGCACGCACGTGCAAAAAAATATTAACAGAGAACTAGATTTCTCGTTTCTTTCGCTTCGCTCAGCCAACGAGAAATAAACATTTTCTGTCGCAGTCTAAGTTTTGCAGATACTGACTTCAACCCCAGGGTTCCACTTCCCGGGAAAATCTACAAAAGCGGATGCAAACAACCTCCCGTATTTTACAGCACAGCCTTGATGCTTTGCTCTTCATTAATAATGACAACTCTCGGAGTAAGTACTCCGACAGACGGAGAATCCGCAGAAAAGGGCACTAGACTAGAGCCATTTCGTCGCTAAAGAGCGGTAAAAACCGTACTCTTCTGCTCTGCTCTAAATCCCCTGGGTGGTTTCTCTGACAATTTCCCAGGACATGGTGCATACTCCTCCAGCTAATAAAGTTCCAATGGGTCCCTCGGGATCATTGTGTTTTGAACCATTATGTTGGTGGTCTCGACGCCCAGAGCTTGGAAGATAATCAATCAGGCTTCCGGTAAATTACGGGCATGGTCATCGCAGAATTAGAGCTATCCGATCCCTAAAAGGCGGTAATAGCATCAGCTATATCCCAGAGGCTAATTCAGAGTTTTCTTGTAAGAATATTTCATTGAGACATACTGTAAATATACAAAATTCCGGCGCTGCAAAATTTCGGCACTTCACGATTTTTGACATTTCGGCGGCGATTTATTTTCGGCGTGGGGTAGATCAGAGGGCACGGTATAGTGCGACAGATGCTGTGAAAATTTTCATTGGCGTTTTAATTTAGGTGTTTTGGGCCGGTGCCGAATATAGCTGAAATTAAATAGCTGCCGAAAATTTGTATATTTACAGTAAGTAATTTTGAGCGAAGAGACTATTTGATTTGAGAATGGTGTGTGTAGGGAACTCCATGCAGTGGAGCTTGCATACCATCAGAAATCCTCTATTTCTATGCAACTAAAAGAAACGTCTTTGCAAAAACATACATAAAGATGTGTTTTTTCCCACTGATGATAGGAACGAGAAAATCGATTCTGGGTTTTCAATAATATTTTTTTAATAAAATACACAGTAATACATGTCAAACAAGTAATGTAGTTGCGTGATGTCTGCGGCCTTCATCCTTTTCATAGCTATATTAAAGATGTACTTGATAATCATATTGAAAAGAAGTTTCTATCAGTTTAATAGAAATTGATGATTAGGAAACTGAAGTAACAAGCATGATGACCTAGGTGAAAGCAAAGCATACGGAGGGCACTGGGATTTCCAGCCAACTGATTTGTAAACCAATTATTAATTATCTGGATTTCCCAGAGGCTAAAACGAGTAGTCAAGGTGTATGGTGCTTGATTTACATTTTCATATTTTTTTCATACATAACACGGGGTTTGATCCTGAACACACACTGACACGTCAGCTACATACATAACACGGGGTTTGATCCTGAACACACACTGACACGTCAGCTACATACATAACACGAGGTTTGATCCTGAACACACACTGACAGGTCAGGTACATTTTACGGAGTAATTATTATTATACTGTGGTGCTAGCTTATCGTTTTTCTTCTTCTTCTTCGCTTTCCCAATGGTTCGCACACATAACGTGGTATTGGAACATGCACTCTCTCCTTGCATGCATTCCTTCCACACACTTTGCATACATACTCATCCTACCAACTTGCTTCACGTTATGATCCTTGCGTTGACAGCCCTATTTCACTATTTGACCAGCTTCTTTACTGGTATAGTATTGTTGCACACCAGGCATGCTGCATCAGTAATTTTTTATTTTTTTATTTCGCCTTCCCGTGGCCAGAGAATATAGGCCAATATGGAAGGAGGGGGGGGGGGGGGAGGCGGTAGCCAGCCAGGGTAGTAAACAAAAACAAAGGAAAAATAAATAAATATCCCTTTATGTACTGATTTCCAGCACAGAATGAAGCAGAATTTAAATTTTCTGCACAATTTACACCTTCAACAGGCTATAACTTTGACCTCCTTCACTGCATTTCCACAATCTTGGGCTCTTTGGAAAGCTCCTGGCGAGAGCAACGCCAGGACACCAGACTCCATCAACTAGCTGCCACAAATCAGGCGCGGGATTACAGCAAAGTCCACCCCAAGCCCAATATGCGAGTAAATTCCACCATCAATGCCATTCCACTCTCCTCTATCACAGAAAGCTCTTTTCGAGGCGATTCAAACCTCAGCCAACTACGTCATTATCATGTGCTCAGTTGGTCAAAGAGCACACGAATAGGGATTATCCCCTAAAATGACAAAGAGATCGATCAAAGTATTTCAATAACCTACGAGGAGACAATAGTCATAAAATGGCAATGAATATAGCTCAGGGTTGCCACTTACTCCGATTGTTTTGAAATATTCCGATTTTTGATCGCCTATCCGACAAAGCGACCGATTTTGTTCCCAAAGAGGGACAACCGATTATTATATTTTGAGCGCTTTTTAGTCCAGTTGGCCATTAATTCATAATTGACATGGTTGTAGTGCGTGTGCTGGAAAGTTAAAAATGTGTTCTGGGGCCCCAACAGCAAGCCATTTTCCTAAACATTTTCACCAAGGGGGCCCTGCCCCCTGCATCCCCACGGGGACACCCCAGCACCCCCGTCGGATTTTTCTCCCTCCAAGTGTGGCAGCCCTGATTGTGCACTCATGAGCCATAACCATGTACAGTCATCCCTCTCTAATCCGGCACTTGTTTATCCAGCACCCTTGCAAACCAGCACACTTTCTGGTAAAACGGATTTTTTCAGTTCATTTTCTACGCTTTAATCCGGCACTTGAATTCCGCCTCCAGCAGCGATTTTCTGCAACAAATCACTCAAACTGTACATAATTCGATTTTCTAATCCAGCAGTTGTACATCGCATACTGTCAGGGACCATTGTAACATACACAACAAATGTAACATACACTTGGGAATATCCTATAATAATAATAATAATTCGCGGGATTCGCGTTGGCATCGCTTGAATGTTCAGAAACACACAAACTAGCCTTCGCTTCCGCAGGCCACCACTATGCCTATGCCTTGCACACCTGAGTGGCGAATGCAGACCTCACAAGTGAGTCAGGGGAGAGTAGGTGAGTCTCTCAACCAATCGGGCGTGTAACGGCCCATAACCCTGTAAACTGCATCCTTGTTACCCTCACTCCGAGCTGTGAGTACCCAGTTGACCGTGGGTGTCGGCGCAGTTCACCACGCATAAAGAGTCTTTACTCACGTAAAAAGTCTTTACACGCTCCCTGCTACCAGCGCGGGTCTCGAACTCGGGACCTCATGATTCGCAGGCAGGCCTGCAAACCAATCGGCCATATGCGTTGGCAGTGTATGTTATAGACATGCATTCCACAAAGTACTTGGTTTGACAGAAAAAATCCCCACGTTTTGACGTACGACACAAACATGTATGATTACATGTGGGCCGGGTTGGAGGGCAGGATTTGATAATCCAGCACCCTTGTTTATCCAGCAGAAAATGCCGTTGCAAAAGGTGCCGGATTAGAGAGGGACGATTGTACATGTTAAAGGGGAAGTTAAGGCAAAAATTAAATTTCACCAGTTGTATTCTTCGGGGTGCTGAGTCGAATGGTCTTGGTCCGAGAAAGCTGAGACGCTCCCTTCCTACTTGAATCCCAATCGAACTGGCGCACTTCCACCGAAACTGGGTGACTGCGCCCTACTAGATGGGGATTTGTATGCAAAATGTCACTAAAAGCGCCGTTTCGTTCTTATAAAAGCACGGATGACCGCGATTGGCCCATATGTTGTAGTCTTTTGGACGCTGAGTCGACTGGTTTTGGTCCGAAAAGGCGGCGATGCAGCGTTCCTCCTTTCTTCCCAATCGAACATGGTTGAACAAGTGGTCACGTGCTCCTGGGTGCCCAAATCACCTGGTCACCACGCCAGCAGGCGACAACTTTCACACCAAGGTTCAACTCGAGTTCAACTCGAGTGACAGGACTGCACCCAAAAAAAGTCAAACAGGCTAGTAAGTTGTACCCTGCAGGCACGGTGACCAGGTGACTGGTGTACGCAGGAGCACGTGACCGCTTGTTCAACCATGTTCGATTGGGAATAGAGGAGGAACGCTGCATCGCAGCCTTTTCGGACCAAAACCAGTCGACTCAGCGTCCGAAAGACTACAACATATGGGCCAATCGCGGTCATCCGTGCTTTTATAAGAACGAAACGGCGCGTTTAGTGACATTTTGCATACAAATCCCCATCTAGTAGGGCGCAGTCACCCAGTTTCGGTGGAAGTGCGCCAGTTCGATTGGGATTCAAGTAGGAAGTGAGCGTCTCAGCTTTCTCGAACCAAGACCATTCGACTCAGCACCCCGAAGACTACAACTGGTGAAATTTTAATTTTTGCCTCAACTTCCCCTTTAACCCTTTATGTACTGAAAAATTAGTTTTTCTGGAGAATGGTCACCGTTTCCGATTGGAAGAAGTTATTTCTTTGGAATTTGACGAAATTATTCATCGACTAATTTTCTCTCCTTGTAAAGCACACGGATTGAGAGTGAGTGGATATTGCAGCAGCCGAAATACCTTCGCGTTTGAATTGCCGTTGCAGCGCTTCACTACGAACAAACAATACCATGCGGACAAATGTGAGCACACGACACGGAGTACTGCACATCAGCAGAAGCCTTTTCCAATAAATCTTTACGGGTTGGGGCTGCTGTACTACTAAAACTCAGCGCAGACCTTCAGTGAAATCTTGGGGACTGAATGGGAGAATCTTACCTGACTTCAAGCCAGTGAGAAGCACCTGCTCCCGATAACGGCCGGGTCTTCCTGTCCGGCGTCCGCTATTCTGGTAACGTTGACCCGGAAGAATGGTAGTCCCACAAATCTAAACGCCACCTGCCGATGGGCAGGTAAGGAAGGAAAGCGCTTCACTTCCGCAACCAGATTGCGACGGAGCGTCACTCACACTCCCAGAAAACAACAATATGAAGGGCCGCAAGCAGAACACGCATCCGCCCAGAACACCCACAGACGGCAACGAGCAAGAAAAAAACGATTCCGCATTCAACTGAACTGTCTGAAGCACGGACGGTGCAGCAGTCCAAGATCCTCTCTACACGTTCGCTGCACGCTCCAGCGGCCAGAGCTCTGTGGCTTCATTCATCTGTCTGATCTGTCAGAAGATGTAGATCTAAGCGTAGATTATGTACATGACTGTACAACATGACATCAGATTCTACTGCCTGCTCCACACTACAAAAGTACAGTGCTGCTTGTGTACATCCATATCTAGGTCTACTAGTACCATGACTGCATGAGTACGAGTAGGTCTAAAATCATTGCGGGCCGATCTTTCCGCTGATACCACGCCAACTCCGAAATGAAGCCGACTGTCGACTGTGTCGCCAGAGGCGCACTAGCTGTTCAAGTGTCATCACATGCAACAGTGAGCGATGTCGCCTAGCCTGTACAGTGTCTACTATGATTATGTAGACGCTACGCTTGTCTGTTCACACACATACACGTCACGTGGTATAGGGCTAGATCGTAGTAGAAGCAAGGCAGGGCAGACTGGGAAATGAGATCCTTTTTTTCGGGCAGTAGCTACAGCCAAGGCAAAGGCAAAGACGTAAAAAGGCTGGCGGCATCCACAGCAGCACTCTACATAACATACCATCATCATGCATGTACTAGTACAGTCTGTATCGGCTATAGCGTAGACCCAGGTGCTCGAAGTCCGTACATGGTATCCTAAGTTCGTACGCCCATAATTTCATGTTCTGTTATTGTATTCGACTCAAATATTTTATGGAGGGGACAGTGTGGTATGTTCTCCTCGCGTACCAATTTTCAGGGATCTACGATCAGCAGAAGTCCCATACCACGGGAGTGGGTTTTCGAGTGTCCATACGAAATACAAATTGGGTTACATTTCATGCAAAAATCAACTTTGCCAAGACCGATTTCGAACGGACACAGCGTCAAACAGACCTTCACTCAATCATCAAGAGCCAGCTTAGAGCTGACAATGGCCAGAGGAGAAGAATTTACAGAGAACCACCAATCCTTGCAGAAAGGTTGACACTCCTGGCATCTCCACCACTGTTTTCCCGCGGTTTTCACAGGGTAGCTGCTTCTTCTCTGAGCCGACTAAAAACAGCTTGCATTTCGGCAACAAGCTACGCTTTTGCAAGAAATACCGGTGGAGGCACATGCCAAACATATCCCTTCTGTGCTTTCGTCGTAACCGAGGGATTGCAAGTTAGCAATTAGCAGAAATATGTGTGTATTTCGAGTCACCTCTGATCAGTACGGACTTAGAGTACCCTCCGCGACACCAAAATTTGATATGAAAAATGAGCGAACTCCAGAGAAACAGATCGGATCGAAAGATGGCCTGGTTCAATCGAGCCTGGCCTCAAAACAAACTTGGACAAGATACCTTCCATCCACGAGCAGGATTCTGGCAAGTGATCATTGCTAGTGTGAGTTTCAGCTCGGCAAACACACACTGTAAACGTGTACGGACTTCGAGCACCTGGGTCTACCCTTTTGATTTCCGTGATTTTATCACTATAACCGATGCATCACTATATGCGATACGATCGATTTTTTCGAGCGACACATGAAAGGCAAGGAAATACTTCCAGCATGGCGTTTTGACAAATGAGCATGCTGCATAGTTGACAGTGCCCGCATTTCCATAAAAAAATCTGTTATGTACATGTACATGTGTCACTATCAAAATAAGCAACGTGAAGAAAGTAAAAAAATAGGACCTTTGATATTATTGCAACATGTATTTTAAAGTTATCACTATAGACGATTATAATGTAGTGTGTTATGCATGTTTTGATTCTATGTTGCCATCATAATATCCGATATATCATTACATCCGATAATATTGGTTATAGTGATATTTGTACTTGTACTGGATAAAATAGGTTTAGCTTTTGATATTTCGTACCAATATCACTGTAGCCGATATATTCTTATATCCGGTCACTCTATAGCCGATACAGACTGTATTATTGAAGTCATTCATACTGAGCCCGAGTCACGTTTTTATTACATTTTTATTTCGTCCAGTCGGCTACTACATGTATCATAATCGTCTTGGGGGTTAGACAATGGCAAGTAGCCATGTAGGGGCGTGAGCCCGCCTTTCGGCACCGGAAGAGGACCCTAACCTGATCTGGTGAGCTGCGTCGCGTTTTGATCATGCAGACTGAGGCTACTCCTTTTCACAGTTCGGCCTCCACTAAGCTAAGACCGCGGTCACACATGAAAAGTTTGCACCGCTTTTGTGGAGGCAAAAAGCGTAACTACCGCAGCCGCTTTGGCGGACCACACGATGCAGCGGTCACACATACATGTAGACTACTGTGCTCCTCAACGCTCCGCTTTGCCGGAGGGAATGCAAATGCAGCACGTCCTATGAAATTTTAGATGTTATAGTCCTAGTTGAAGCGACCTTCGCTTGTACAAGTAGAGCTATCATGGATCGCTGACAGGCTGCTGAGTGTCTCCTGTCAAGTACACTCGTGGATTCGGGGCACATCCACTGGCGGCCCAGTACTGGTGTACATGTATTTGAATATTAGCTTAGTTTACATCAAATTCAATATCAAAATTCATTCAAATAGTTTCAAATATTCTTTTCACCCTGGCCGACACTGTGTGTGACGTATAGGTGAAGATTCTTGCAATTATTTCCAGCAATGAGCAATGACAGGCTTGATTAGAGCAGTCAGACCCATTCCTTGACGGAGTGTACTAATACTATTATGACTAATCCTCCCGCTATTTAAAAGTCATGACGTCACTAAACCACGATCACTACTGCATGCACCTTCCTGCACTCTACGACAGCCAAACAACACATGTACAGGACATGGACATGGGACGACTGTACATGTATTGTGATGAATATTGAATTCCTACATCACACAACTACTGTTCATGATACCGACTGACTGGCTGAACATGCTGCACAACTCACAAGTCCACAACTACAGTTCATGATACCCGGGTACCCACACTTACTGACCTGCTGAGAGTTTGCCAGTCTTGTGCATAGTGTAGACTGGGACCACTACAAGTAACAGTTGACCATCATGCTGATAACACGAAACCATAATTATGGAAATGTATCCAGCGGATAACGTCATTCGCCTAACTGACAGGATGCCGCAGAGAACACTGGCGGACCTCGCCGCGAAAAATGTTTGCGACATGTAAAGCGCCTAAATCGAATGTGCCCATGCCTGACCAAAACACGCACTGTTATGTAGCCGAGTTAGTCAGACTAATGTTTACGCTTTTTAAATGTGTTTTTAAAGTATTGTAATGTACCCGAGTTTATTTGTTTGTGTTGTTTTTGTGTTCATTTTACTTTACACGTCATTTAAAAACAGGACCTAAACCTATTAACATAAAGGTGAATATGAAATGAAAGAAGCAAAGGAGAAGAGGAAATAAAAAAATAAAAAAATAAATCGCAACATAAAAACAGCCCAGGCTCCAGAAGTGCTCAGGAACGAACAGACACTGATCGTATTATTCACAGGGGCACGCTACCTCAAGTAGAAGTACAGTGCTGAAATCCGACCCCCTTAGTGCTTTAGCGCTTGTATCCTCACGTAGTCCTTTTAATAGGGAAACGATATTCATGATATTCTTTATGGTTGTTTTGGGCCTTTTTTTCTTTTTCTTCCCATGCATCCCCGTTTCTGGTGCTCTGGTGGCATGCTGTTGTTAGGACCACGGGTCGGTGGGGTGCATCCAGCTTCACCAACGCCACTATTCTGTAATATCCATATTCCTATTGCTCTCTATTGTACTTCTCACATTATTTTATTGCCGTGCGACATAGCTATTGCACATTTTACCTGCGGTCACCTACCCCCTCCTAGCTCCTAGCACAACATTGAACCGTCCAAACTGGAAGTATGTTGGTTTAGGCAATGAATATTTGTTACAGCTACATGTGAGGAGTCTGGTAGTGGAATGTCTCAGTAGCCTATCAGTTTTGTGCTAAGTTACCACGCTTTCTAACTGTGTATTATCTTGTTACAGTATTGTACAGTAACTCATAACACGTGATCCATACGTCCAGTCTTATTTTTACTTTACCTTCTTTTCCTTTTACTTTCGACTTCTTATTTTTTTCTCTGCTTGCTGTGGTTGGCTAAGAAAACCCTGCAATCGCAACGCAAAGTATTCAGTGGCAGATCTAGCCATGTACGCAGCATAGTTTTTGAATAAAACTTTTAAACTAAACTGCATGGATGATGGATACTGGCCGGTCTCACCACGACAGAAGGTTTGCAACTTCCACTAGGCCTTCCGGCACTGAGTGTGACCTGGTGACAATCCGTGACAATGCTTGCACTGTTTCTAACGTCGTGTCTGCCAAAGATCTTTGGAGCTGATGCCTTGTTCTCGCGAGTGGGGGGGGGGGGGGACGCAGCATACTGCGGCTACACTTCAACGCGGGAATGCGTATAATATTAATAATAATAATAAAGCCCTGTAATACAACTACATTTTTACATCGATGCAGCGAAAATGAAAAGTTCATGTTACACTTTGCATATCGTCACTGTGTGCCTGACAGGTGATATTCTAAGAGCATCTGAAACAGTCAAAACCTTCCCAGCCTGTTCAACCTGCATGGTTTGGATGGTGTAATTCCGGGGAACCTCAGCAGACATGGAAAACATTCTGAAATGCGAAAACGTTTTTAAAGAATAGCAAATCAAACACAGGCAAGTGAGGTCGGCCAAAGAACGCAACGGTGATGGTGATGAAGTCAACGTAGAAATCACACCCAACTGGGATAATGCTTGTGTGCAGCAAATGTTTAAATTAAACTAAGATTAGATCTTCAAGAAACCTGTGGAAGACAACATTAACACAATATTGGTTTTCTGAATAGAAAACATCAGATCAAAATGAAATACATCCACTGATCTAGATGTTGGAATGTTCATGACTTGGGCAGCATATGCGAGTGAGAATCGCACGTGGC